AGAATTCCTGTCAGTCGCTAGCTTTTTTTTTTCCCTGGTGAGCTTTTCATATAAAATCAGACATTTTTACTCATCCCACGAATAGCCGAAATCGAAAAGTTATCAGACTTATTTCATTAACCAAGCATGCGTATTCTAAGAAAAACACGCAGTAAAATTATTATTAAAAATACTACTTGTTGAGAAGTAATTTCTCACATTCTTAAAAATGGCAGCCAAGCACATCATGTCCAAGCACAGTGGAGGCAGAGCAGAAAGACCATCTGACCCAACGTGCCAGAACTGCAGCTGACGGTGAGTCAGGACCAGAGTATAAATAAAGTGGGGAAGAAATATTTTCAGAGTCCCTTTATTATTACAAAAGCAACGCGACTAAGCACAGTTAACTCCTAACAAGGAAACTGCGGAGAAACTGGTTCCCGTCCGGCAGTGTCCCTCAGCTCCAGAGGCAGCATTCCTTGCCAGAGGAATCACTGGCAATAGGAGGAGGCCAAGTACTGAGCTAAGTCTAACAACCGCAATGAAACCCCACTCCTGGTCTTTGTAAAACAGAATGCCCAGAACACAGAGAGACTTAATTTTCCACATTCTATTTTAAACAATTTGGAGAAGTGATGTGTTAAACAGCCCTTCTGATCCAAAGTTATGTTACACAGGGACTTCCCAAAGACTCATTTGGAAAGCCAGCAGAAAGGCTGTCACCTGCTTCTCCAGTTAGATGCAGTATCCTTGGTTCCTCTTAGTCTGTAAAAATTAATATTAAAAAGCCAAAGGAAATACGAAAGCAGAAGTCACAGAGAAACATACAAGATATGTGGAAGATACACTGTGCCCGTTTTAACTCAATCATTAATTCCTTATCACTAAGCATTTTTATATATGGCAATTTCTACATACCGGATAAAGTCCCTCGACTTTGCTAGCTAGCAGAACAAAAGATCCTACTTTCCCAACGTAAAAACTCTGCTAACAAGGGAACTACAGTATATTATACAGCACTGCCTACCCTTTACACAAACTGCAAACAACCACTCAGCAGAGAACAGCACCAAAAGACTTCATTGCTTTTATTGTTTAAAGCCCAATTTATCACACATACTTTTCAAGCGTGTGGAATACAATTTTTTTTTTCTGTCAACACAGAAAAAATCAACTACTTACACTGATCTAGTATAAAAAAGTATCTACTAGTACACTGAATATGAGGGCTATAAACTTTTCCTTCAGAACAATAGTAGAAATCATGAAAAGTACGTCCTTCAAAGAACTTATCGAGGCAAGATATTATTAAAAAAATTTTTTAATTCAAGACTCCTAAATACATGCTCTTCTCCAATTAAACATTTTCTAGCCCCAGTTAAAGAATGTCTCATTGATGTCTAGGAATTTGTGAACATAACTCAGCTAAACTGGTACTCAGTTGAAGCAGGCCACTGAAAAAATAATGTATATACAGTATTTATACATTTACAGACTTTAAATGTTAAGTTATGTCCATTAAATTTTATAACTATTCCTAAGGATAATAATTAATATTAATCCCTTTCATAAGGGATTATGAAATACATCTGTATCTACAGATTTAAGTCTGTAGCATTTGCAAACACATGTACTATCTTTAGTACATGTACAGAGTACTACTATCTATAGTACATGTACAAAGATCAATAAATAGACATACATGAATACAACAAAGTACATTTTCTTAGACACTACGAATGATTGAACTTAGGTGAAGCCAACAGGCAGTTCTTGTACAGCAACCCTATGATTTTGTTGTATTTTAGTATTCATTGTTGTAAGTATGGCCACAGTGAATTCACTGTATATCCAGACAGCATAAAGGAAATTAGAAACACATCATAATGGTATTATTACAGTAATCACTTGCATTTTCAACCTTTAATTCAGCTGCTTGTTTAAAGCCATTAATAGAAAACTTGAATATCCGTATTTCTGAACGATTTTGAAGTGAAGAAATTATATTCTTTTCCTATAGACACACATACTTTTGCTTTCAAACTTAAGTCAACCCTTAATTATGTTTAGTTAATTACTCTAACCACACCAGATGGCTGACTCCAAAAGAGATAATCCCTGAAACAGCCATTAGTCAGGATCAGCAATAATTACACTGTAGACCTAATGCATTCTGTGACTAAAAAAGTCCGTACCAGTTACAGCAGATCCATATTCTTTTTAACCTCAAGTATATATTAGACATTTGTTCCATTTTAGTGTATTTTTGCCAGTCAATACTTGTGATGAACTTTCATGATTGATTTTTAAACTCTCATATTTGTAACAGAGAAATGGAATAAATAAAACTCGAGGAAAAAAAAAACTGACTTTTTTTATTTTCAAGAGGTAGTCTGGAAAATTTGCCTGGAACTCCAGTTACTTCCCCAGAATTTTCCACAGTGAATGATAATCATGAACACAAATAAACAGTTGCATGAAAACAGAAAGCAATGTCGCAGTAAAAGGAACAAAGAAGCAAAGTATGTGCACCTTTACACAGGAAAATGTTGTCTTTTTTTGGGAAAAAAACAAAACAAAACAAAAAACTACTAATGTTTAATAAAAATAAATACTCTAAAAATGGGCACAGGTTTACTAAAGAAAACAACAATCAAATCATTTTCATATTTAAGAGGTGAAATTCCTTTAAACTGAATCACCTACCAATTCCACGCTCAAAACCTTTGCTGAAACATATACTAACACAGAAAAATATAAATTCTTACTCCTAAGCAGGTATGAATAACTAACTCTTTTCATGGGATATTATCATGGATATAATAATATCCTGTTAAAGTTAGTTGGGATGTGTGAAGACTACAAAGTGAGTCTTAAAAAAAATTCTAACCAGTAGACTCACTCACCTCCAACTTCCAGTTTAACCTCTCATTCCCATGTATTGCTTCATTATTTCAATGATTAATAGAGTGAAAAAAGTCAAAAGCGCAGAGGTAAAATATACTTCAGTCTTCTTCAACAACCAAGTGAAATTTGTAACAACTATTTGACAGCCAACTGGGCAAAAGTCCCACAACACGTGGTGTTCTCTTGCCTTCCAGCAAGGTATTTAATCGTGTTGTATCATAACGCTGCCAGTTTGTGACTATTTCTTGAGTCGATACGAGTGCTCCAATGCTGAAGGTCTTACAGCTGCTGAAGGGAAGCACATCGGAGTCGCTCAGAACAGACAGTCCAGCAAAGCAGAACTCATCACAAATTTGAAACGCGGTTTCATTTCATGAAGTAAAATTTAACATCTAACTCTTCTCCTTCAAAGTGAAGCAGAGCCCACAACGGCCAGTGCACGGAAGGTAAATGCAGAGCACAGGTGTGGACGGGGGGTGACCCAGCAGCCACAGCACCCGTGGGTTCCGCACCCATGTCACAATGGCCATGGAACCAAGGAGGAGCGGGTGTAAAAGCAGTGGTGTGCCAAAAAATACACAAAGCAAACAGCTACCCTGAACAAAACCTCACGGAGAAGGAATGGGCAGAGCTCATTATAGACAAGCTCTGGACACAGGTGGCTGCTCCCAGCAATGTCCCTGCTCTGGTAATAAGGTCTGCTCATAGACCTTCCAACACGCAGTCTACGACTGCTATGAGGCTTCAGAACTTTGAGATTTTTAAACTCAAATAAAAGTGTCAGTATAATTAATGAGATTCACTTTACGTTTCAAATGCTGTACAAGCCTTGAAGGCCAGGTTAAGTGCTAAGTATTTCAAGTTCTGCAGAACTTCATTGTAATTATGTCACCTTCAGTAATTTACTTTAAGGACTTTACATAAAACTCTCTAGAGAAAACGGCCACCACAATAGAACTTTTTCACTAAATTAACCGCAACACTGGCTTGTGTTTCACAGGTACAATACCACCTACAAAGACACCTGTATCCACAAATGATGCATCAGTGTCAGTTACACTGTGCGAGGCACACGGAACATTCCTCCATTATGCTCTAAAACCTTCAGAGCCCTCCCCTTTCTAGTATCAGGCCAGATTCAATCAGCGGTGTAAAAAATCACTGTTCATTACATCAGAATCCACAGCAGTGAAAATATTCATAAAATGACAAATATATCACAGCACAATTACACAAATGTTTAACAGTCTTTACTCACAGAAGGTGACTTACTAAAAGCCACTTAAAAGCAGATACAAGTTGTAAATTGGCATAACTGAGTCAGGATCAGCCTTGCAAAAATGGAAACAGAGAAGGAAATAAGTTGCCATTCTACTATTTGGTAACAGGCAA